GGGGGGGGGGGGGGGGGGGGGGGGAGGGGGGGGGGGGGGGGGGGGGGAGGGGACGCGGATCTCGGAGGACCCGGGCCGTCGGGAGTGGAGGAGGACGCGAACTGGGGGAGCCGGCGCTCACGTGCTGGGCCTCCCACAGCGTTCCCTGTTGACAGTGTTCTCCCAGTTCGGCCTTCTGTATTCGGTGCGGGTCTTCCCGAACGCCGCGGTGGCCGGCCCCGGTTTCTACGCGGTCCTGAAGTTCTACTCGTCGCGGGACGCACGGAGAGCCCAGCAGGCGTGCGACGGAAAGCCTCTTTTCCAGGCATCGCCCGTGAAGGTGGGTGCGGACGCAGGGTCCTGGGGTGAGGCTCCCAGCCCGGCTGGCGCTCGCGTGGGCCCGGGCCCGCGCCGTCCTGCGTTGCCTTTCAATCTAAGAAAATCTCGACGAGCGTCTTCTGTTTTGTTTGCATCTAAAACGTGGCGCGTTCGGCCGATTGCTAGCTGCGGACAGCAAACCCGGCCCAGCTTCCTCAGAGCCTCAGGACGTTTCTGGGTTCCCCCCCGGCCCGTCCTTCTGAAGGCGTCCTTTCAGTTTCTGGTCGGGCTGCCTGCTCGCTGCCGGCTGCTGCCTGTGTCTCCCCCGCTGAACCGTCACTGAATCCGAGAACTCGAGGCCGCAGCGGGCCCCGTCACTGCGGCTTCCCCCTCCGAGCGTTGGAGCCCTCTGCCAACCGTTCTGCCTCCTCTCTGGACTGCAGGTTCGCCTCGGCACCAGGCGTACGGCGCTGCGACATCAGACCTTTGCTCTCAACAGCTCACGGTGCCAGGAGCTGGCAAATTACTACTTTGGCTTCAATGGGTGGTCAAAGAGGATCATCAAGGTAAACCTCGTGCCTTTTTTACACATTTTAATCCTAGACTTCGGGGAGGACATGTCAGGGGCCATAGGATAAGTGGATGTGTCCCAACTGGTCCAGCCTTGAGAGTTAGGAAATCTTAGGCGAGCTGGGGACCGGGCTGAAGGGTGGAGAGCTCGCCTAATGCGGTAAAAAGCCTTAGGTCTGGGTCTCAGAGAGGAGGAAATCCCAGGACTTGAATCCGACCCCTCCCAGCTGCAGGAGCTGCCCGGGCCTGACCGTGAGGCCCTCTCGGGGCCCTCGCAGAAGCGGAGCCTCCAGTTCTTTTGCGCCGCGGAGGTGGTGCTGCCGTCCTACGGGTGCAGGAGCCGGGGAGTCGGCATCTCGGAGGAGCCTCTGCACCAGCTGGAGGAAGGTCCGTGCTCAGCGCAGGGAGGACGGCAGGAACGGGCGCGTCAAGAGCGTCTGTCTGTCTTTTCTTCCTCCTCTCTACTCGTTGTCAGTTACCAGCCAGGTCCTTCCCTTGCTAGACTACTGAAGTCTCAGGCAGAATTTTTGTGCCTTAGAATAGAGATTTTCACTTTAAGCACGTGCCTGACAAACCCTTTGTATTTACAACAGAACTGTCCTCCTGCCCAGAAGCTTAGGGGAGGCAGAAGTCAGGTGTCTCTAGCGTGTGGTTAAAGACGTTATCTCAGCAAAATCCTGCTGTAGGACAGAAGAAATGGCTCAGTGAGTAACAGTACATACTGTTCTGGGCAAAGACCTGAATTCTGTTGTGTACACAGAGGGACAGACATACAGATAGATACAGACATGTCATTTATCATCTAAACATTGCCTTTTGCCTGCTAACAGCATGGCTCCAACCGAGAAATAGGCCAATGGGAAAAGGTTCGTGGGTTGATTTAGAGGTGTTTTTTTTTTTTTCTAGTCCCCATGGCCCTCAGCATGAGGGGTCCAAGTCAGAGGCAAAGGGTGCTGGTGGGGGAGGGTGGAGTGGGCTCCTGAGGCAGCTGCACAGATGACATCCATTTTGGGTTCCATCACCCGACCTCACTCAGGGTGATTCCCTCCTGGAGCTGAGCAGGCACGAGGATAGCTCCTGCCTGTCAGTTTGAAATGTGCCTGTTCCTGACTTGAACCCCATGGTTATTACATCAGGAACTTCGGAAGACACTGGGCCTCTACAGTGACGGGCCCTATCATGATGTACTCCAGCGGGGCCATTCAGCCAGCTGTTGGTGCCATGCGTTCCTCTAGTTGCTTGAATACTGACCTGAAAATTAATCATAAATGTGTTTTATAAGTATTTACTTATTTAAAACAATTTTTTTCCCATTGGATCCTTGTGAGTTTCACATCATGTACCGAAATCCACCTCCTTCCCTTCATACCTGCCCTCCACCCTCACACCCTCCCCCACCCCAACAGAGGGAAAAAAAACTCACTTTGGATCTGCAGGAAGGAGAGGCCCCCACATACTCCAGCTGTTCGTAGATGGGGTAGACGTTGGGGTAAGCTAACTTAAAGCCCTGAATCTGGGCCTGAGAAATACCTGAGCTGGTCAGCCGGCCAGTCTTCCCACACCCAGACCACTGGGCCAAGGTCTCCTGTCCTGGCCCAGCTGGCCCAGCCAGTGCTGCAGCTAGCTAGGGGCAGAGCCAGCTCTCCTGATCTCACGCCGTCATCCTTGCCCATGCCGTTAGGGCCAGTTCTACTTGCTGCCCAGGCCGAGGCGCAGGGCCTGTTTTTACTTACTTTATTTTGTGTGTGTGGTCTGTCTGTGTGTAGCATATGCATGTATGTGTGTGCACACAGCACGTGAGCCTGTGGGTTCCAACCCAGAAGCAAGAAGGGGGTACTGTGCGTGCTCCTCTATTCTCCTCTTTATTCATTTGAGGCAGGGGCTCGCCCTGAACCTGGAGTTTGTCTTTCTTTTTGGCCAGCTAGAAGATAACAGCGCCACTGTCTCTGCCAGTATTCCTGGCCGGTATTATCGGGTTAGGTTAGTGCCTAAAGCTATTGTAAATAAGTACAAGTGTCCGTGTCATTTTTCGGAGCTAGGGCAGACTTAGAAAAAGAAAAAAGTGTTCATTGTTTGTTGGTTTGTTTGTTTGTTTGTTTTTCATTTTTATATCTCCCGGCCCAACTCACTGAACTCACTGCTGGGATTGCAGACATGACAGCATGTGACCCAGCTGTCACGTAGGCACTGAGTCCAAGTGCTTCCACAGCAAGCAACTGAGCCTCTCCTCAGCCCCCCAGTCAGGTATTTGAAAGCCATCTCTTTGGTTGGACCCAGGGCAGTCATCATTTCTTATGAAGAGGAAGACAGCTCAGAAGCTTGCCATCCAGGGGGCCCTGTCAGACGCCTTCCAGAAGCTGTCTATCGTGGTTCTAGGTGAGCCTGTTGATTTATTAAGTTTTTCTTTTTTTAGTTTTTTGAGATAGGGTTTCTCTGTGTATCCCTGCTTGTAGACCAGGCTGGCCTGGAGCCTATAGAGATCCACCTATCTCTGTCTGGCTTGTGAGCCTTTTTGGTTTTGTTTTGTTTTAGACGTGATTTCACTGTGTAGCACAGGCTTGCCCTGGACTCAATTTGTATAGACCAGGCTGGCCTCCAACTCACAGAGATCCACCTGCCTCTGCCTCCCAAGTGCTGGGATTAAAGGCGTGTGCCAGCACGGCTTGTCTGTGAGCCTTTTCTTGATTATCATGAGTGCTTGAATCTCAGTGAGCAGAAAGTTTATTTTAAAGCATTGGTCATGCTGGGGCCAGTGGCCTGAGCGCCTCTAAGATACCAAAGTCGTTTGAACTAAACTGATCTCCTTTTTTTTTTTATTTTGGTTGGGTCTTCCTGTGTAGCCCTGGCTGTCACTATATAGACCAGGCTGGACTCGAACTCAGAGATCCTCCTGCCTGTGTGTCCTGGGTGCACCACCATGCCTGCCCCTGGTCATTCATTCTCTAGGCAGATGGTTGGTTCTGTTAACAAATGCAGCATGGGGTGTGACATTTCTAGACACACTCTCCTTTAGCGTTTAGAAAGTGTAAGCGCTCACCGGGTGTGACTGCTGGACACGGGAGCAGCCCTGAATTTATCCTCTTTCTCTCAGAAAGTGGCAAGATCGCAGTGGACTGCAGGCCCAGTGAAGAGTCCATAGATCCCGGAAGGGAGGAGGAACTGCAGAATTTAGTCCAGGTGGGTGGTGACCGAAGCCCGATGTTTCCAAAGCTGGAGCAGCCGAGACTGAGGAAGCCAGCGAGATCTGGAAGACTGCGCTGTACAGCCCCTGTGTGTGTGTGTGTGTGTGTGTGTGTATGTGTATGAGTGTGTGTGGGCATGTGCGCGCACACCATGGTAAGCTTCTGGATGTCAGCGGTTTTTTTGTGAAGTCCGTTTTCCCTTTTGGCCTTGTTGTAAATAAAAATGGTATTGGGCTAAATAATTATTATTATTAGCCCTATAATTATCACAGTGGTATTATTTAACCCACTATCACAATAAGACACAGACACCTGTTAGATTTTTTAATTGCCTTATTTACCTTGGGCTGGGCAAATATTTCCACCTGCACTATCTCGATAATCTCTCCATCTCTCAGCCCCCATCCAGTGCCAACATGGCAGCTCACACCTGTCTGTAGCTCGTTCCAGAGCTTCTGACACCCTCACACAGACATACATGCAGACAAAACACCAATGAACATAAAATTATCTATCTATCTATCTATCTATCTATCTATCTATCTATCTATCTATCTACAAGTCCAGCTCTCTGAATATGATAGGAAGCAAGTCAGTACTGGATTCTGAAATCTGATTGCAGCAGTATTCACTGGTAGTTGAAGAGACGTTAGAATAAATTCCATTTTAAGAACCACCACTACGTGTCCAGCCATATCAGGACACTGGTATGTGCTCTTATGCACATGAATGCATGTCCTAGGAAGCCAGAAGCGTCAGATCCATTGGAGCTAGAGTTACAGGTGGGTCCTGGGAGCTGAACTCAGGTCCTTTGCAAGAGCAGTGCATGTCTTAACTGCCGAGCCATCGCTCCAGCCCCAAGATGAAGGCTCTTCTTGCAAACCATAATACAGATTATAAAATCAGCTCTGAAGGAAGTCAGCTGGGTGGCTTCCCTGTGTTGGTGTGTGAGGGTCTCTTGCTCCTGTGAGTCAGGATGGGCTGCGGATGGTTCCCCAAGCTGGTGGAAAGGTGAAAAGGTGGAAAGGCTCTCTACTTTGATACAGACCTTTTGGCTGAGTTATCTACCCCAAATCCATCCTGCACAAGCTTAGGCATGATCACAGGTTTTGTGCTAGGCTCAGCACAACCAGCAGTGGGTCAGGAACCATGATGCCTGGTGGTGAAAGGTCGGAGGACAGCAACACTGAGTGACCACGGTGTGTTCCCCACCACCCTGATGGGCCTCTTTTCGTCCTGCAGGTCAGCTGCTTTCCTTGGAATCAGCCCAGCCAAAGGGAGGAAGAATGTCTCTCAGATTTCAGCTTGGAAGAGGAAGAACTGAATCTCGGGGAGTCACACCAGCAGTTCTGATGGTGTCTGAGGCCCCACCCTCCGATTTTGATGGAAAGTTCCAAGTTTTCAATCTATGGGCTGCTGGCATCCCTGAACACCCAAGTGTCAGGCCCTGGAGGGCGTCCTGGGAGAGGTCTAAAGGAGGCTTGCGCCCTGTCACTGTGGGAAAAGGCTCCCCATGCAGAGTGGAGCTGTCCCAGCACAATAAAGGCGTCCTAACAAAGGCGTCCTGTCGTGAACAGTGTGTGGTTTGGGTCCCCGACTTCAGTGAGGTTCACATTCTGCTAGTGGGGCTGTGTCTTGAAGGTCCATATAGAGCCATGTAGAGCAATGTTAATTCAGAACATGGCTGCTCTGGCAAGAGATCACACCCAAAGACCTTTTAGGTCAGTGAGATCTGGCTGGAATACAACATGTCTTTAATCCAGGAGACAAAGGCAAGCAGATCTCTGAGTTCAAGGCCTGCCTGATATAGAGCAAATTTTAGAGCAAGTTTCAGGTAAAGAAAGTGTACCCGGTCGGTATCTGGCAGGTGGAGCTGAGAGGAGGGTGGCCAGTCCAGCTGGACGCCCTCCATGGCTGAGCGGGAAGATGAGGGTCGATGGCCCGAACCTCCCCGGATGCCCCAGGGAATAAAACACCACCGAGGTGGGAGATCTGCTGAAGCAGGAACTCGGTTTATTGAATAAAGCAGTCCTTTTTATAGGTTTGGGTCAGGGGCAGGATTAAGGAAGTGAGGTAAGATGACAGAGGGCAAGGTTAGGCAGTGCAAGGAGAAGCGGGCCAGCAACAAAACTCCACGTAACAGTTACTAGGCAGGGTTGATTTTAAGGTAGATATGCTGAATCCCTTTTGCCCAGAAGTGGCGCCTCTTAAATCAGAAGCTAAAGACAGGTCTCCAAACTCAAGCCAGGCTCAGGTAGATGCAGCAGGCCTTATCAGGCCCAACAGAAGGGCTTAGGTTCAGATGTTGGGGTACACGCCTTTAATCCCAAACAGTGAAGGTAAAGTTAGTTTGTAGAAGGAAGCTCCCGTGTTGGAAAGTGATGTCTGGAGAGATGGCTCAGAGGTGGAGAGCACTGGCTCTTACAAAGGTCCTGAGGTAAATTCCCAGCAACCATGTGATGACTCAAAACCATCTACAATGAGATCTGTGGTGCCTTCTGGTGTGCAGGCATACGTGCAGACAGAACACTGTATATATACTTAATAAATCAGAGAAGATTATCCAGAAGAGGACATGCTCAACTAGAAGAGAGAGTAAAAGGAAGCTACTTAAGGGGCAGCTCTGTAAAACACAGAAGAGGAGATAATTTTATAGGTTACAGAGAGAAAAAGCTAGTCTCAGGTGAAGACCAAACGAGCCAGAGAATGAGCCAGAAGATTAGAACAGATTGCTGGAGTTTCTTTGAGGTCAAGTGGAGCAATTCAGGAGCTGAGAGAGAAGCCAGATGGAGTAAGTCGGCTGGGAGAAGAGTTTGAGCCAGAACAACGGACTTGAACCAGCCAGCTATGAGCTCAGAACAACAAACTGTGAGCTTACTAGGAAGTACGTTTCAGAGGCTGAAAACATTCTAGGCCTAGGTTAGATTGTCGGGAGGCAAGAAGCTTCCAGGACTAGGCCTAGGTTAGCAGATGGAGGCAGTAAGTCTCCAAGACAACAATTAAAACAGGAGAATAAAGGTACTTACACAGATCCTTCTCTTGTGGGTTCCAAGGATCTGATCTTTGTTAAGTAACAACTGGCCCAGGTAGTTCCCAGAGTGGGCCCAGGATTGTTTCCAGGTTCTCTCCACGCCTGGGGACTACTGACCTCTGGTGTTTGTACTTCTCTTCCGATATCAATGGAATCGCTCCCATGGCCTGCAGCCTACACAGCACCTGGCTGTTGTGTCTTTCAGTGAGAGTTGCTTCTTTCCTTTGACCACCCAGCTTTTGGGTGGGTCCACTGGGTACCCTGGGTCCATTACTCCCTCTTAGGTTTTTGCCCTAAGGAGTTCACGACAATTTGCTTTTAATCCAGGATACCAGTTCCTCTGGGGAGCTATACCCCGAATCCGATCACCCCAGAATGTGCCCTACTAGCTGACCCAGCTCCCGAGGCTCCCAGAGGTGGTTCCCAGTGATAGAGGGTGATCAGAATGGGGCTCTGCCCTACCGTTCTCCACTCCAAAGCTCCAGACTGTTGGTGAAGATCAGGTTGAGAGAACCAGCCGTTTCGAACACTTGCTCTCCTTTGGGTAGCTGGAGAGTCCAATAGAAGCAGCTGGAACTTGGAGGAGCTAGCTTAGCAACGATGTGGGCTAGGGTGGAGCCCCACAGAATGGATTCAAGGTGCTGCTTACTGGCTGGAGAGTTGGCTCAGTGGCTAAGAGTACCTGTTCTTAAAAAGGACATGGATTCAAGTCTCAGCACCCACAGGGAGACTCACTTCTGTAAAGCACCGTGCATGCATGCAGCAAACAGAACAAAATAAACAACAAAAAAACCCTTATAACAGTTGCTGCTTTACGAAAATGTGTTCTATGTGTGTGTGTGTCCAGGAAGCTAGAAGATGGCGTCAGACCTCCTGAGTTGGACTTAGAGGTAGTTGTGAGCCAGCTGACCTGAGCGCTGGGAACCCCACTCAGGTCATCTGACAGGTCAGGAAGTGTTAGTAACTGCTGAGCCATCTTTTCAGCCCCGCCTAGCCTCTCCCCAAAAAAACCAAACACACAAGTGTTTTTGGAAACATGTTCTCTTGAAGCCTCCTGAGGACTAAGGTTAATGTTTGAAAGTTTAAAATTGCTGTGCTTAAGAGAAGCGTAAAGCAGAAATGTTAAGGGCTGCTAAAGCTTGACTTTTGAAATTGCCTGGTCTTGTACAAGTTTAACGAAACTGTTGTAAGTGCAAGATAATAGGTCATAGGGTCAACTGCCGTTTCTGATTCTGTAACCAAAATCTTGTTTTGCTCAAGATGACCTTCCCATTGTAGGCAGAGGGAATGTAACTTTGTGTTCTTTGCCTCTGTAAACCCCTCACTGCTGAGGTGGTGGGTGCTACATTTAAGAAAACTGGCACCATCAGCTGAACAAAGGTCAGACTGGTGAATCTCTGAACTACCCCTGAGCCATAACAGCCTAGGCTGGACTCAAATTCTCTCTTTCTTTCCTTTTTTTTTAGAAACAGAAACAAAAAGGTTTATTAGGAAAGGGTAAATGAAGAAAGGCATATGCTAGAAAGCCTGGCTTCAAACTCATGATGAAACCCAGGATGACCTGGAAGGGACCCTTCTGCCTCTCTTTACAGGTTTGCACCACCGCTCTCTGGCTCATCCTCCAGGTGTCCCTGCGCCCCGTGAGACCCCTTACTGCCCCGGTCCACTATCCGCTAGAAACTGCTGATGTAAGAAGCATAGCTCTCGTCTTAAAGTAAATAAGACCTATTTTTCCCCCCCCCAAGCTATTTTGAGTGACTGTGGCCCAGGAACAAATTTAGCTTACCCCAAATTCCATGTTCCAATGTGGAAGCAGTTTCACGACATTTTTATAGTTTTACAGAACAAAGAAAGTCACTAAAAAAAAGGGGGAGCTGGAGAGATGGCTCAGAGGTTAAGAGCGCTGTCTGTTCTTCCAAAGGTCCTGAGTTCAATTCCCAGCAACCACATGGTGTGGCTCACAGCCATCTATATAGTGAGATCTGGCGCCCTCTGCTGGCCTGCAGGCACACATGCAAGTAAAATGCTGTTTAAATAATAAATAAATAAATCTTAAAAAATGTGGGGGGGGGGGGAAATTTTTCCTGGCCTTTTGGAGATAAGGTTTCTCTGTGTAGCCCTGGCTTGTCCTGGAACTAGCTCTGGAGACCAGGCTACCCTCAAACTCACAGAGATCCACCTGCTGCCTCTGCCTGCCAAGTGTGGGATTAAAGCTGTGTGCCAACACCACCCAGCCTAAATCAAGGCAATTAAAAATACACTGATGTGTGTACAAGAGAGGCAGATACACGGAGATGGGAGGGGCTATTTTATGGGCCCAAGACGCTGTCTGTTTACAATCTTAGCTCTTGGGTTTGT